ATTTTCGTGCTTTTTTTATGTCTGTTGTACTGTGTTCCTTTTTTTATATTCTTGAAGTAAGTACTTTTCCATTTTTCCCTGTTGTGTCTACCTCGACTTTGAGAAGGAATTTGAGTTAACCAGCCCCACAGCAATTATAGCAATACTAGCTCGGAAGAGGATCAAAGGACGCCTCCTGGCCTGGATAGAGTCCTACCTTAGGTATAGGCAAGCCTGTGTCACCTTTCAGGGGCATTATTCTTCCTTTAAAACCCTGGAAAATAGCACGCCACAAGGAGTTGTGCTCAGTCCTACCCTGTTTAACATCCTTATGCAAGAACTTGTGAGCCTTCCCTTTCATAGTGGTATGCAGCTCCTCAGCTACGCTGATGATCTTGCACTAGTAGTGAATTGGAAAGGCAATTTGGAGTGACAGGCTCAGAGAGCTTTGGACCTAATTACGCAGCCTTGCGTAGTTAGGCCGTTGATCATAATAAAGAATTCGATATTGTTTACTTAGATTTTATTAAGACTTTTGATAGAGTACCGCACCAGAGACTGTTAAAGAAAGTGGCAGCTCATGGCATTGGGGGAAAAGTGTTGTTATGGATCGAGTCATGGCTCATCAATAGGAAGCAGAGAGTATGCTTAAATGGGGTTAAATCCGAGTGGGGATCTGTAACAGGTGGCGTACCACAGGGATCAGTTTTAGGCCCGTTGTTGTTTATAAAATATATCAATGACCTTGATGAGGGAATTACTAGTAATATGAGCAAATTCACCGATGACACAAAGATAGGTAGGATAATTGATTCAGAAAAGTGGCAGATGCAGTTCAGTGTAGATAAATGCAAGGTTCTGAAGCTCGGGAGTGTCCATAACCCTAGCACTTACAAGTTAAATAACGTAAAACTTAGCCATACAGATTGTGAAAATGACTTGGGGGGTTATGATAAGCAGCAACCTTAAACCAAGACAGCAATGCCTAAGCATAATAAGGCAAACAGATTACTGGGATTTATATCAAGATGTGTAAGCAACAGAAATCCAGCGGTTATTTTACAGCTTTATACATCATTAGTGAGGCCTCACCTAAATTATGCAGCTCAGTTCTGGTCTCCATATCACAGAATGGATATAAATCCGCTAGAAAATATTCCAGCATAGAATGACCATAACATTAGGAATCTTCCGTACATTCACTTGTAAGGAAAAATGAGGGGAGACATGATTGAAGTGTATAAGTGGAAGATGGGTATTAACAAAGGGGATATAAATATTGTTGTTGTAGGCTTGCCGGTACTTTCGGCCCGGGTCTTCTCCACATGGCGACCCGGCGGTGGCCTCCCGGGCGGAGGGTGTCGTTCATTTTCTTTCTTCTGTATTCTTTCTTGGGGCTCTCCGGTTGGAGGGTGACTTCTTCCGTCTTGCGGTGACTCCCCAAGTGGGAAGTGTCTTCTCGTTTAGCATCTTCAGCAGCATAGGAGGGCGGAGGCAGTAATTACAGGGTTCGTTTTGGAGCCAGTCCCCAGCTTTAGCAGGCAGCAAAGTGCTGGGGAAACTTGTCTTCACGGTGATTGATCATTGATAGTCCTGCTAGGTGAGGGTACCGTCTTCGGCAGCCCCATTCTAAAGAGTCCTGAATTTCTTCCTTGTGGTGTAGTCGAGTGCCACAAAGCGGTGACTTTTTGAGAGTAGGTTGATCAGGGATTCAGTGGTGAATGATCGAGTTGAGTCGCAGGTGAACTTAACTGTCCCGTTGTGGAGGTGTTGAATAATTTCTGGAGTGTACATTACGTTCTCATTCTGGTTGGTTGTGTAGAAGTATACACCAGGCAAGAACTGGACTTCTTGTGAAGGAGTGGCGGTAGTAAGTAGGGCTGCATCCCAAGGCTCTTGTGTTTTAACCATCTTGGCTGGTGGCTGAGACGATTGAGGTGAGGCGTCTGATTGGTCCGTTGTAACGGAGGTGGAAGCAGGTGCTAGTGGACTCTCATTGGTGGAATCGGTCGGCGTCTCAGTGGTCTCTGATTGGTCCATCTCTGTGGCGGGAGGAAAGTGTGGTAGCGGTGGAGCAGCGGTAATGTTGGCGACATTTGGGATTTTATGATCTCTGTGGAAGGTGGAGATGCAGGGAATGTAAAACCAGGCATGTTGTTGAGCTTGAAGAGTTCGTTGATGGTGGTGTTGAAGGAACCAGGTTCAGCTACATTCTGCACATGAACATACATGATTCAGTAAAGAATCTTGGTGGAGTCGCCAGCAAGAGCTGGCGAAGAAGTGGTAGATGCAGCTTGCGTGGCTTGAAGAATCTTGGTAGTATCTGCTTGAAGCTTGGTAATAGCAGCATATGTAGTCGCTTGTGCAGTTGTTTTTCTTTTTGTTGTTGTTGTTGTTGTTGGAGTTGTTTGTTAAGTATATCTCGTCTGGTTGGGCACTCGGCAGCAAGAGTATGGTGATCATTCTTGCAGTTCAAGCATTTAGGTGGAGAGGCAGTAGTGCACGTCTTGAAGTCATAACCTTCTTGGCCGCAGGTGGAGCAGAACTTCTTATTCTTGGCAGGGCAGTCTTTGGTGGTGTGTTGGTATGAGTAACAGTTGGAACACTGGGAATTTGATGGAATTTTTCTGTTTCGATGAAGGCTGGATTGATGTGGAGGTAGTCAATAGCCAGTCCCTCAGCGAGAACTCTAGCTGCCATGTTGACGTCACTGAAGGTGACCTTCAGCATGGAGGAGGCATTGGGTATTTTGGTAATGAATTTCACCTTGGCCCAAGGGTTCTGTGCTTCAATGGACGACTTGATTTCTTCGGTAGCCTGAGCAGTGATGAGCCTTTCGAGTCTCTTGAGGAACACAGTTCTCCTGGCCCTCAAGCTGGGAAAGTCAAGACAATAAATCCCTGATCTCATAGAGTGGTTGTAGCAGTGGTGGTAATGAGTTTTTCATCCTCGGTGTCGTCAGTACAGACGACAACGAAGGTATCTTTGAGCGACAGAATCGCATTAAACTTGACTTGCAGTCTGCCGCTAATGACAGCTGCAAGTGCTAGCTTGGACGAGTCATTGACTGTCCCACTCTCTGGTTTGATCTTTACCCTGTTCGAGAAGTGCATCATGAAGTGTGGTCTACGTCTGGTCTGTGACAGAAACCAGTCTTGCCCCTGATATTTATGGGCCTCAGTACCACTTCAGGCGCAAGGTAACATTTCTTTATAGATATATAGTCTATATTAGGTGTGCTTCTTCTTCTTGATGCGCCGGTACTCTCCCGGCCTGGGTCTTTTCCAGATGGTGACCCGGCCTTGGGTCCCTGTCGTGGGAGTGTCTTGAGATCTGTCTCCCAAGGGAGGAGGTAAAAGTACCTCCTCAGCTTAGGGACCAACTGTCCCCAGGCCTAGCCACATTCCCCGCCCTCACAGGGCTCGTAGTGAGAAGCTAGGCCTTTGCTCTGCCATCCGCCTCGCCCCAGGGCTTGTGGGAGAAGTGTCTTCCCCTCCCATTAGGTATGCATACTTGTAGGAAAATCAAAAAAACTCCCCAAAAATTTACAGGGAATAAAATTTATGAATATGATAGTTTCATCATAAACATTAAAAAGCACTAATATTAATTTTCGTGGATATATAATCCTGAGAACATAGCTTTACATTCTAATATTTCGCCTTCGTAATAAGTCATAATACAAAAAAAAATTGTTCAGAGTGCAGAAGACAGCGCTCAGCATCTCGCTTTTCGGCGCTTGTTAATCATTATTTGCTAAGAGCATCTCAAGTGTAAACAACAGGAGACCAGTGAAAATATAAGCACCGTTCCAGGGCCACGGAACGCACAATAATCAAGAATTACGCTGTAACTTGGAGCGCAAATTGTAGTTAGTGTACACATAGACCAGGAAGCAGCAAGCACTCAGTATTCTGACACAGCCCTATCACTCCTGATTCAATTACTGGAACCAACCTAGCAATGGAATCTCTCTCTCTCTCTCTCTCTCTCTCTCTCTCTCTCTCTCTCTCTCTCTCTCTCTCTCTCTCTCTCTCTCTCTCTCTCTCTCTCTCATGCACACAGTTGTGCTCGCTGATTTGCAATCTCCTCATAACAGTTAAATAGTTCGAGCCTGTCTGACGTATCGAATCCTCAGAGCTTCTTGTACTCTGTTCCTATAACTTCCATCCTCTTGTGTCCTCTAAATTCACAATATTCAGCTCAGGTTTCTCCCCGCAGATCAACTCACTACGGCTAAGAAGACTGTTGTTGGAAATCTCTCGACTTTCCTTAAGAACTTCAGATGCCTGACCAGGTGTGAGCCCCAGGCAGTGTGAGCCCCAGACAGTGTGAGCCCCAGGCAGTGTGAGCCCCAGACAGTGTGAGCCCCAGGCAGTGTGAGCCCCAGGCAGGTGTAGCAGAGTGTATGCCAGGGCTGACACGTCTCGTGTAGGCTCCTAAACGATTGCTGAGGTTCCCGAAAGTCGTCCTCGAGTTTCCTTGGCGAACACCTGCCCTCGATACTAGCAGGATCTGTTCTCTCTCCCTCTCGCCTGTACTCCGTCACTGGTCTTCTTTAACCTCCCCAAAAATTCATAGCGTTGCACTTGTGTGCATCACGCTTTTCAAAGGCTGCTGTACGAACCTGCTGTGAAATGCAGCTGCGAAATTTGTAGTGACAAGTATTGCGATCCATCTGCGTTTGTAAAGCAAAGAACACACAGCGATCAAATCAGTTGGCAATGACTAGCTCTTGTCCTCTTTTTGTCATCTATGAGCGTGATGGCCAAGTGGTTAGTACTTCGGACTGTCACCTGACACTCCATCATTCAAGTTGCAGAGAAATACTTTGAACTGTTACAAGCTTTTATTACCCTAAACAGCTCGTGGGGAAGTAGGTAGGCTGTAGTTCCCTCGCTCCTTACATCGTTAATACGTTGGTTAGTTGGGAATTGTAAAGAAGCAGTCACAGTGTCAGTCATACTCGTTTAGTCACAGCCAATCATTATTTATATCATTCTCTCTCAGCCTGTTCTCACCAGGGTCATGTCGATGCATTTATTATCATTACAGACGAGCATGTTGGTACAGTCCACAGTCAAGTTCTTCAGTTCGTAGTACTCCCAGTCCTCAGCAGGAACCAAACCTCCAGAGAGCCCCACGTTGCTGTTGCTCAGGATACACGTCTCTGTGGACTCCCTGCAAGTGGAAGATATATCTGATAAGCCGCTAGAAGCTCGAGCGGGTCATCGGTGCTGACGAAGGCATCGAAGAAGTCTTAGAAAGCAGATGTAATGATACTGACAATATGGATGAAAGAACGTGAGTGCATACATTTAGGATATCTTGATTAAAGTTTCGGTCCTGTGACCTCGATCCATTTGTAGTGAACAAGGTCCCAGGACCAAAACGTATCCAATACAGTTGTTCTAACTGTATGTATACATTTGTGTCTGTGAGGGGAAAGTTCAACAGATAGGAGTAGCAAGCAAGTATATGGTGTCGATAGTTTGATTGCCGGCTGCTTGTTAAGGTAGGGTCAGTGTCTAGGTCCCGCTATCCCCCCTCCCTTTTTCCCACCTGGAAAGGTGACGTGTGGGGCTCCGACCAAACAGTAATCACTTGACTCACAGCTCCCAGCACAACTGTATGTAAAAGCCTCTGCTCCTATTCTAGTGGATATATTGGTTGAAAGCTTCACTTTTGACCAATAATAAACTTATTCCTTTCAGTCTTGAGTTCCATGTTATGCTTTTAGATAATCACCATTTCTTTTAGATATTGCACTTATCATGGAGAGTGATTTTTCAAGCAGTGGGTAACCTTGGTCTCTAGCTTGGAATGATAGCTCGGGTCATCTGCCAACCAAAGAAACGTGTTGAAGGAGATGGACTTTACACAAGTCATGGGACGTCACTTTTGATCTACCTACCTGATTAATTGTAGTCAACCGCAGGCAACTACCCCTCATCTTTGCAGTGGTGAAGAAGCTACGTTCCTATCATCTGGACAGACTATTTAAGGCTATAGACTCTGTGAAGAACTAGTAAGAACATAAGAACATAAGAACATAAGAACGAAGGAACACTGCAGAAGGCCTACTGGCCCATGCGAGGCAGGTCCAAGTCCCTACCGGCTTAAGCCAATGCACCCAACCTAGTCAGGTCAGGTCACATTGACTCAAGGGAGGAACACGGCAACCGACCCGTTAGCACAAGCTATCAGGTCTAACTCACACCCACCCACATCTACTCATGTATTTATCCAACCTATTTTTAAAGCTACACAAAAAGTTCTGGCCTCTATAACGGTATTGGGAGTTTGTTCCACTCATCCACAAAATCTATTTCCAAACCCGTACTTTCCTATATCCCTCCTGAATCTGAATTTTTCCAACTTTAAAACCATTGCTGCGAGTCCTGTCTAGGCTAGATATTATCAGACACTATTTACATCCCTTTATTTATTCCTGTCTTCCACTTATAACCTCAATCATATCCCCCTAATTTTTACGTCTTTCTAGAGAGTGCAGTTTCAGGGCCCTTAGTCTATCCTCATAGGGAAGGTTTTGATACATGGGATCATCTTTGTCATCCTCCTTTGTACATTTTCCAGAGAATTTATATCCATTCTGTAATACGGGACCAAAAATGTGCAGCATAATCTAAATGAGGCCTAACCAAGGATGTATAGAGTTGAAAAAACAACCTGAGGACTCCTATTATTTATGCTTCTTGATATGAAGCCAAGGATTTTTAGCTTTATTTTCGAACACTTATGCACTGTTGTCTTGGTTTCAGATTACTGCTAACCAGAACTCCTAAATCTTTTTCGCAATCGTAATATTAAGATCTACATTATTTAGTTTATATGTGGCATGGTTATTGTCCTGTCCAACATTTAGAACTTTGCATTTGTCTATATTAAACTGCATCTGCCACTTCTCCGACCACGCATCAGTCTATTCAAATCTTCCTGGAGTGCTCGAATGTCCTCGTCAGAATGAATTTTGACGGCCTATTTTGGTGTCATCGGCAAACTTGCCGATGTCGCTCTTTATGCCCTCATCTATGTCGTTTATGTAGATTGTGAACAGCAGGGGGCCCAACACTGACCCTGTGGAAAACCGCTCGTGACGCTTCCCACTCTGATTTCTCCCCATTTATGCAAACTCTCTGCTGCCTATTTGTCAACATGCCTCTATCCAGGAAAAAATTTCTCCTCCTATTCATGTGCTTTAATTTTCCTCAATAGTCTCTGATGTGGGACCCTGTCAAAAGCCTTACTGAAGTCCATTATAAACAATATCATATTCGTTACCATGATCAACCTCTTTAAAAACCTTAGTGAAAAAAGTTAATAAATTCGTTTAAAGGCAGGAACGTCCCTTTGTAAAACCATGCTGAGATTCGTTGATTTAAATTTTTGCTTTTCAAGGGGCTACGAACTGCCTCGGCAATTATTGATTCCAAAAATTTTCCCCACTATGGAGGTTAGGTTTATTGGTCTATAGTTCGAAGCTAAGGCCCTGTCACCTTTTTTTGGAAAATGGTATCACTTTTTCCCCTTTTTCCCACTTATCTGGCACCATCCCATTTTGAAAGTAAATTGTTGAAAAGTTTTGGGCCAAAGGTGTGCTAAGCTCCTCTTTAAAATTCCTTTAGAACCCTTGCACAGTTCATCGGGGCCGGGGATTTGTTGGGTTTTTAATTTATCTTTTTGCCTAAGGACCAGGGTCATTTGGGACCCAAAATAGTGCACAGTTTTTTTAAATCGTCCTGTTCTACATAATTTATCATTACGGGAATTCATTTGGTATCCCCCCTGTGAAAAAAACTGGGGAGGAAGTATGTTTTAAAAAATTCTACCTTTTCCCCTTACATGTCATTTGACTGCCCCAAGGGAACTTTTGAGGGGCCCTTCTTGTCCCTGATCTTATTTCTGTAAAACCTTGAAAGAACCCTTTTGGGGTTTTAGTCTTCGATTCTCCTTGCAATTTTAAACCCTCAAAATTTCTTTTTTTTGGTTTTTCAAATTTCCCTTTTTTATTTCTCTCTTTAACTAAAAATATCGATTTTTAAATTGCCCCTCCCCTTTTTTTATTTGCCTTTTAAAACCTCTCTTTTTGACCAATCAAAATTTTTTTAAATCAAATTTTTTCATCCTTTTAAAGGATCTTTTTTGTTTGATCTGATTTCCCTTTTTTGGAACAAAATTTTTTCTGAGCAGCTGAACTATCCCCTGGAAAGCATAATGGGGCAACCTTTCACCCCCTACCTGACCCCTAGTCAGGTCATTCCAAAGTTCACCCCACTAAGTAATTTTTCAGTTTCCCTATAAAATCACCCAAAGGCGAAAGCCCCGGACGGAGACTTGTTGCCCAAATTTGGGGGAAATTTTCCCTTTGATTGTTAAAACTGAGTGATTTGTGATCACTCCCCCCAAGCTCACATTAACCTCAAGATTTTTAAAATTATTTTTTTCCCCTTACTGGCAAAACCCAAGGGTAAAAGGAGGTTTTTTTCCCCCTAGTTGGCTCTGTCACAAACTGTTTAAAAAAAAATCCGGGGTTCGTATCAAGAAATCACCCGACTCAAATTTTTTCCTGTAAAATTGCTCCAGTCAATTGTCTATAGTTGAAACTCTCCCATTAGCACAACATTTTCGAAAATGTAAATCCTTACGAATTTCGTCCCATAGAATTTACTGCACCCTATCAAGTTTTGGGGGCCCCGGGTAAATCACACCCAAAATTGGGTTTTTTCCCCCCGGCCCTCGAGAAGCTGAAAACCAAACAGATTCAGGGGCTGACGCTTCTAATTTAATATCTTGTCCCAACACAAAAAATTTAAAATTGTCTTGAAAATCATGCTACTTCCCCCCCCCTTTTCCCGTTGACCCTGTCAGTGTGGAAAAATTTTAGCCTTTGTATGTTGGGGCAATTTTTTAATGGCATCTCTCTATCTTTCAGAATTTAGCCAGGTCTCTGTTTATACAATAATTCTATGTTTCCTGCCTTTTCAAATTTAAACTTAGGCCCCATCTATCTTATTTCTAACACCCGCTATTTGTATAGTAAACCTTAAAGGGGGGCTTCCTTGCTGCCCTCTGCTTTTCCCCCTTTTTTTTCTGAAACCCGTTTCTATTGCTTTATTTTAATTTATGCTGAATGCCTTTTAATTAAATTTTTTTCTGTTTCCAACCTAGGGGGGCAACCCGCTTTTTTTCCCCCACAACCCCATCCCCTTTTCTTCCCCTCATTTTAAAATCAAAAGGGATTTTACCCAAAGGCCTTCTCAATCGAGTCTGCAAGTGTTAAACCAAACCCCCGCCCCAGAGAGAAAGAAAACCCCTCCCTTGCATACCTATCATGTTTTTCCATAAAAGGGTTTTTCCAGGTTGTCAAAAGTGGGGTTGCCCAAATTCCCCTTGGGAGTATCGTCTAGCCACAATTTTTTCACCCCAAATTTCCCTAGAAAAACCATTCATTTCCCACTCCCCCTTTTTAGGCAAAAATGACATATGGGTTGGGATCCCTCCCCTTTTCTTAATGAAATCTATAGCTGACCTGTACTTTTTCTAGCACTTTCCCCTCCTAAAACCCCTTTCCCCAAAATCATTTTCCCCCCAGCACTGAGGGCAGTTTAAAGGGTTGGGTTTCCCTTACCCGACATGTTTTTATCCGTCTGGGTTTCAAAAGTCCCCCCCACCAGCTCCAGGAAGGGACACTCTATCTCTCATCTTTTATTCCCAATTTCAAAAAGCAAAGGTTTAACATATCTTACCTGAGAGTCAAACCCAAAACAAGAATCGCCTTTTCCTTTTATTTTGCAGGGGCATAGTACCCTTACCTTTTATTTGGCCCCCTGAGTCTTCCATCCTGGGGGAAAGAAAAAGCGATTTCCCACCTTCAAAATCTTCACTTTTTAACTTTTTCCCTTTCTCTGATGCGCCTCCCCTTATGGTTTAACAATCGCCCCCTTGTAGCAGGGGCGGGCTGCACCTCACTGCGGTCCGTTTTTCTACCCCCCCACCTTTAAACCCCCTCACCGTGGAGAGACAGACTGCACCCCATGCTAAAGCCTCATTCCCCAAATCTCCAAAAAAAACCCCACACTCTCTCCCCGGGCCCCTTGAGGGTTTGGACCTTCAGCCCCTAAATCCCTCCTTTAAAAAGCAAGACCTCCTCCTTCAACTTCCAAAATCAGATTTTTAAAAAATGTAAGCAACCATGCTTTGTAAACCCTCCACGGGTAATCCCCCAAAACAGCTCAGGGGCTTGACCCCCACGTGACGACTGGAAACCCCTGAAACTGTTTGGGGTTTTCACTCAACACCTGTGACCCCCCCCCACCACATCCTCAGCAACGGCTACAATTTCTAAAAGACAGTGTCAACATCAACCAGACACCCCAGTTGAACTGTACATATTAGCGTTGAATTCAAATGTCATTTTTTTTATTTTCATTTTTCTTTCAAGTAGGATAAAAATTTCATATTAAAATATTTTATATTTTCATTCGTAAATAATAGTGTTTATCTTTGTATGTTATTATTTTTTCCTGAGGAGGAGCCAGCCTTGGTAATACTTACTGAAGTTGTTACAGGGCTGAGTAAGTCTTCAGTGTCTTCAGAAGGGGCGCTGGAAGTTTTACCGCCTTTCGAAGATTTGAGTTAACGAATGAGGGTATGGAAGGCCCTTTCATTGACTTATCTCAAGGTATACTCAAGATATGCATTGTCTGATAAAACCCACTCGCTGATAACAAAATAAAATTCGAGGGCCTTCCTAGCTTTTTATTTTAGCACATGCTGATAACGGAGGAACATGAAAGAATTGCCACTCGGAATAAACTATGAAGGGTACATACACAGAGCAGTGTTTATCTAACAGTGTACATACACTCAGAGCTTTCTTCCTTATTTCAGAGCTTAACATTTCCTAGACTAGTGGTGTACAGGAAACATGCAGCAATTCTGACCTTCGTGTAGTCTACAAGCATTAAACCCTATAAAGCAACCACTCAAAGTAAATTATCCATAACATGCTAAAGTTGCAGTAACACTACTCACTGGTAGTTAAACGACTTGCAGACGAAGTTCTTGGCCTGGATGCAGCGGGCAGCACAGGTTTTCTTGGTGTACAGCCATTCCCCTACCTCGTTCCCTTGCAACCTGTGCCTCACTTGCTTTCTGAACTCGTGGCTGTAGTCGGGGCACCCCACCTCGTCACTCTTGTCATCACAGTCCTAGTGAAGAGAGTGAGCAGTGAGCTCTAGGATATTACAGTAGTTGATTAGTGACTGTTCTAGTGACTAATAGATGAATGTACTAGTGACTGGTAGTGATGAATGGTTTTGAAAACCGACAAAGAGTTGAAGAATTGAGACATTTATGCAACATATGGGAATCTTTATTGAAGAAACGTTTCGCCACACAGTGACTTCATCAGTCCAATGAAAAGTAGAAATGGGTAAGGAAAGGAGGAGATTGAGATAATCAGTCCCACAGCCTGAAATCGATGTGTTCAGTCCATCACTCTTGTAGGAAGTACAGCATAGGTTTTTTTATTGTTAACACACTGGCCGATTCCCACCAAGGCAGGGTGGCCCGAAAAAGAAAAACTTTCACCATCATTCACTCCATTACTGTCTTGCCAGAAGGGTGCTTTACACTACAGTTTTTAAACTGCAACATTAACACCCCTCCTTTAGAGTGCAGACACTGTACTTCCCATCTCCAGGACTCAAGTCCGGCCTGCCGGCTTCCCTGAATCCCTTCATAAATGTAACTTTGCTCACACTCCAACAGCACGTCAAGTATTAAAAACCATTTGTCTCCATTTACTCCTATCAAACACGCTCACGCATGCCTGCTGGAAGTCCAAGCCCCTCGCACACAAAACCTCCTTTACCCCCTCCCTCCAACCTTTCCTAGGCCGACCCCTACCCCGCCTTCCTTCCGCTACAGACCGATACACTCTTGAAGTCATTCTGTTTCGCTCCATTCTCTCTGCATGTCCGAACCACCTCAACAACCCTTCCTCAGCCCTCTGGACAACAGTTTTGGGTAATCCCGCACCTCCTCCTAACTTCCAAACTACGAATTCTCTGCATTATATTCACACCACACATTGCCCTCAGACATGACATCTCCACTGCCCCCAGCCTTCTCCTCGCTGCAACTTTCATCACCCATGCTTCACACCCATATAAGAGCGTTGGTAAAACTATACTCTCATACATTCCCCTCTTTGCCTCCAAGGACAAAGTTCTTTGTCTCCACAGACTCCTAAGTGCACCACTCACCCTTTTCCCCCTTCATCAATTCTATGATTCACCTCATCTTTCATAGACTCATCCGCTGACACGTCCACTCCCAAATATCTGAATACATTCACCTCCTCCATACTCTCTCCCTCCAATCTGATATCCAATCTTTCATCACCTAATCTTTTTGTTATCCTCATAACCTTACTCTTTCCTGTATTCACTTTTAATTTTCTTCTTTTGCACACCCTACCAAATTCACCCACCAACCTCTGCAACTTCTCTTCAGAATCTCCCAAGAGCACAGTGTCATCAACAAAGAGCAACTGTGACAACTCCCACTTTGTGTGTGATTCTTTATCTTTTAACTCCACGCTTCTTGCCAAGACCCTCGCATTTACTTCTCTTACAACCCCATCTATAAATATATTAAACAACCACGGTGACATCACACATCCCTGTCTAATGCCTACTTTTACTGGGAAATAATCTCCCTCTTTCCTACATACTCTAACTTGAGCCTCACTATCCTCGTAAAAACTCTTCACTGCTTTCAGTAACCTACCTCCTACACCATACACCTGCAACATCTGCCACATTGCCCCCCTATCCACCCTGTCATACGCCTTTTCCAAATCCATAAATGCCACAAAAACCTCTTTAGCCTTATCTAAATACTGTTCACTTATATGTTTCACTGTAAACACATGGTCCACACACCCCCTACCTTTCCTAAAGCCTCCCTTTTTCATCTGCTATCCTATTCTCAGTCTTACTCTTAATTCTTTCAATAATAACTCCCACCATACACTTTACCAGGTATACTCAAAAGACTTATCCCCCTATAATTTTTGCACTCTCTTTTGTCCCCTTTGCCTTTATACAAAGGAACTATGCATGCTCTCTGCCAATCCCTAGGTACCTTACCCACTTCCATACATTTATTAAATAATTGCACCAACCACTCCAAAACTATATCCCACCTGCTTTTTAAACATTTCTATCTTTATCCCGTCAATCCCGGCTGCCCTTACCCCTTTTCATTTTACCTACTGCTCACGAACTTCCCCACACTCACAACTGGCTCTTCCTCACTCCTACAAGATGTTATTCCTCCTTGCCCTATACACAAATCACAGCTTCCCTATCTTCATCAACATTTAACAATTCCTCAAAATATTCCCTCCATCTTTCCAATACCTCAACTCTCCATTAATAACTCTCCTCTCCTATTTTTAACTGACAAATCCATTTGTTCTCTAGGCTTCCTTACTTGTTTAATCTCACTCCAAAACTTTTTCTTATTTTCAACAAAATTTGTTGATAAACATCTCACCCACTCTCTCAATTGCTCTCTTTTTACATTGCTTCACCATTCTCTTAACCTCTCTCTTTTTCTTCATATACTTTTCCCTCCTTGCATCACTTCTACTTTGTAAAAAACTTCTCATATGCTAACTTTTTTCTCCCTTACTACTCTCTTTACTCATCATTCCACCAATCGCTCCTCTCCCTCCCGCACCCCAACTTCCTATAACCACAAACTTCTGCTGAACACTCTAACACTACATTTTTAAACTTACCCCATACCTCTTCGACCCCATTGCCTATGCTCTCATTAGCCCATCTATCCTCCAATAGCTGTTTATATCTTACCCTAACTGCCTCCTCTTTTAGTTTATAAACCTTCACCTCTCTCTTCCCTGATGCTTCTATTCTCCTTGTATCCCATCTACCTTTTACTCTCAGTGTAGCTACAACTAAAAGGTGATCTGATATATCTGTGGCCCCTCTATAAACATGTACATCCTGAAGTCTACTCAACAGTCTTTTATCTACCAATACATAATCCAACAAACTACTGTCATTTCGCCTACATCATATCTTGATACTTATTTATCCTCTTTTTCTTAAAATATGTATTACCATATAACTAAACCCCTTTCTATACAAAGTCAATCAAAGGGCTCCCATTATCATTTACACCTGGCACCCCAAACTTACCTATCACACCCTCTCTAAAAGTTTCTCCTACTTTAGCATTCAGGTCCCCTACCACAATTACTCTCTCACTTGGTTCAAAGGTTCCTATACATTCACTTAACATCTCCCAAAATCTCTCTCTCTCCTCTACATTCCTCTCTTCTCCAGGTGCATACACGCTTATTATGACCCACTTTTCGTATCCAACCTTTACTTTAATCCACATAATTCTTGAATTTACACATTCATATTCTCTTTTCTCCTTCCATAACTGATCCTTCAACATTACTGCTACCCCTTCCTTAGCTCTAACTCTCTCAGATACTCCAGATTTAATCCAATTTATTTCCCCCCACCGAAACTCCCCTACCCCCTTCAGCTTTGTTTCGCTTAGGGCCAGGACATTCAACTTCTTTTCATTCATAACATCAGCAATCATCTGTTTCTTGTCATCCGCACTACATCCACGCACATTTAAGCATCCCAGTTTTATAAGTTTTTTCTTCTTCTCTTTTTTAGTAAATGTCTACAGGAGAAGAGGTTACTAGCTCATCGCTCCCGGTATTTTAGTCGCCTCATACGACACTCATGGCTTATGGAGGAAAGATTCTTTTCCACTTCCTCATGGACAATAGAAGAAATAAAGATGAACAAGAGCTATTTAGAAAAAGGAGAAAAACAAAGATGTATGTATATATATATATGCATGTGCGTGTCTGTGAAGTGTGACCAAAGTGTAAGTAGGAGTAGCAAGATATCCCTGTTATCTAGCGTGTTTATGAGAGAGAGAAAGACACCAGCAATCCTACCATCATGTAAAACAGTTACAGGTTTCTGTTTCACAGTCATCTGGCAGGACGGTAGTACTTCCCTGGGTGGTTGCTGTCTACCAACATACTACCTACATTATACATACATACCTACAGCATAGGTATGTATGTATAATGTTCGCCAAGACCGAAGTCCTGGCCGCAGTCATCTCTGGGTCCTCTTCGGGAGGGGATATCAGTGCTAATTGCCTGCGGAGTGTCTCAGTAACTTCGCGCTCCAGAAGATAGCGTGTTAGGGGGCGCTGGACAACGTACTGCCCTTGTCTACCATCAGCTTGGCTGTGGGAAAACCCAAACGAAGCCGATGGATGGCGGTACACTGCGCTCTGGACCAGCTTCTATCATATGGAGGGGGTTCTCCATGATTCGCTGCTCGGTACCACTGTTGAGATGAGGGTATCACCTAAGACCTCCCCCATAAGTTTCATGGCTCTGGCAGCCACCAGTTTGATCTGTCGTAGGCTGATGGAGACAGTAATCCCAACATGTGGATACTCAGTGGCTGCCTTGGCTGCATCATCTGCCGCCTCATTTCCCCGGATGCCAGCATGGCTGGGGATCCAGTTCTATGTCGATCTGTTACCCTGAACTTCTAAGGCTGTCATTATGCTCAGGATCGGTGTGATGAGGTGAACATTGTCCTGTGGTTGGGGATGGGAGAGGGCATTGATTGCAAAGGTGGAATCAACATGTATGAAGGGTCGGAGTCGATTCAGTAGACATTGTCACATGCCTGCTGAATCGCCACCAGCTCAGCTTGAAGGATCGTGCAGTGGTCAGGGAGTCGCCAGCCTTGTGTTTGACCATTGTGGTACAGTCCAGCTGCTGCTCTCTTCCTGTCAGGGTGGACAGAACCATCTGTGAAATACACTGCACATGTGCCTCCCTCTGCCAGTGCCATGCTTGTCTCAGCATGATTGCTGAGGATGTCTTGACTGCAGAGACGCTTAGAGGTAGGTAGTTGCATGACGCAAACATCGGCTGGATCTGGGCGCCAGGGAGGTGGTGGATGATACCCAGCAACAGGAAGGTCACAACTCTTCTCAAGGAGTAGTTGTATAGGCAGCAGCTTCCGCCCAGCAGCACAAAACGAACGAATCCAGTAGTCCGTGAAGAGAATTGGATCTTTTGTCATGGTTGTCAATATCCCTCTTAGTGGGGTATCTTGCTGCCGTTGCAGAATCGTGGCTACTTTGCAGGCATTTATGTATCTTACTCTGTCAGCCAGGGAAGGAAGCTGGGCCTCAGATCTGAGACATACTGTGTTGGTCCAGATGGGGGCTCCAAGCATAGTTCTTATCGCCTGGTTTAGTACGACCTCCATCGTTTGCCTGCTCTGCGGGAAGAGATGAGCTAATGCCGGTGCCCCGTAATCAATGAGCGAGCGTATAGCTTGTATATAGTACAAGCGAAGTACATCTTTGCTCGCCCCTGTACGGTGCCTCGTCATGGCTCTCATGGCGTTGAGTCTGAGTAGAGCACGTGACCTGACATACTCGGCCTGTTTCTGAAAGGTCAGCTTTTCATCAATGTAGATTCCCAAGTATAGGTAGGAGCCTGTCCACTCAAGTTCTATATTCTGAATACGTAATCTGTTCGCAAGATCCGGTTTCTTGAACATCACTGCAAGAGATTCCTCGGCGGAGATCTCGAGGCCTAGTTCCTTGTAAGACTACGTTGTTAGGTTCAAAGCTCTCTGAGCCTGTCGCTCCAAATTACCTTTCCCTTTCACTACGAGTGCATGATCATCATCATAGCTGAGGAGCTGCGTACCACTATGAAAGGGAAGGCTCACAAGTTCCTGCATAAGGACGTTAAACAGGGTAGGACTGAGCACACCTCCTTGTGGCGTGCCGTTTTCCATGGTTTTAAATGAAGAGTAGTGTCCCTGAAAGCTGACACAGGCCTGCCTGTCCCTGAGTGGAGGCTCCCCTGGAAGTGAAGAGCTCCACTAGTTTCTCAGCTTCTTGGGATGGGTTCGGGTGTGCTGGTGGCCTTGGCTTGCTTTTGCCAGTTGCGATGTTAAGCTTGCCTCATATCTCAGATAAGGTGGTGTGATGCCAGAATGTTGAGCACCACTCCAGCCATTTCTCAGTTTTTACTCTGAGAGAGACTTTGCGGGCATGCTGCACAATGGCTCTCAGAGTATTCCTGTTCTCTGCCGTAGGGTTACGCCTGTATAGCTTCCTAAAAGAGTTGATGCGGTGGTTCTGCTCCCGCACCTCGTCGTTGTAGAACCACCAGTCTCTTTTGTGAGTGCGTCCTGCGGACTTCTTTGGAATTGCGCACTCTGCTGTCTGGATGAGAACAGTGATCAGCTCCTGCTCACTGTATCACAGTCTTCGGATAGAGTGTATGTGGACCACCAGTCATGAAGATAATCCTGGAACACCTTCCAGTTGGCCCTCTTTACGTCCCATCCAGGAGGCACCACATTAAAGGTGGTGATCACTGCAAAGTGGTCAATGACAAGGTGAGGATGAGTTTCCCATGTGGCTCCTGCTGCGAGTTGTCTTGACCCGAGGGTAAGGTCGAGGCAGCCACCCAACAGGTGTGTGGGGTCTCCATTGTTTAGCAGTTTTACCTCTAGAATATCGTGTAGGAGCATTGCTTTGTGTCTGCCCGCAGCATTGGTTGCTGAGTGAGAGTGCAGCATTGGGCGATGTGCATTGAAGTCTCCACCCACAATAATACACTCAGTGCGTGCTAGCGCGAGAAGCTCTGCAATGTCGAGGGTGTGTCTTGGGTTCTTGTAGATGTTATAGATGGTAATGGGCGCCTCAGCATTTGGGTAAAAAGTTTGTTACCATAACTACAACAGGAGCTCATTAGGCTGGGACTCTGCACTTCTGTTCTAATAAGCGATAACCTAGTATTTTCTGAATATTATCTGTAATATTTTTTTCCCTACGATCTGATCATCATTCTAAGCATTAATTTAGACGATGACTGAGGCATCAAGTATTGACACATGTATGAAGGAGGAAAACCTTGTTTTTTTTTTTTAGACCTGTTGAGGAGTTAGTTTCACCTATACCTGAAAATCCTCAATCCTGGGTGAATATTAGTCTAAAATAAAGGTTTTCAGTTTTAGAAGCCGTTACGACAGTAATCTCAAGCACTGTAAAAAGCTACCATAAAATATATCACACCTTTGACTTGCAGTCTATCTGAAACACTGTGAAAAGTTGACATAAAGTACAGCACGCCTCTGACTCACAAATACGCCGTCACACAGCCGCTGTCTGTCGATGCAGTCACCAGATGAACACCTGAACTTGCCTGGCGGACACACTTTCCCTAGGGTAACTGCTCCTGGGCACAGCAGAGCTGTTCCTGACCGCATCCTCCACCTCAGGCTCCTGCTGCTCGCATCTTCTCGGTACACGGGAATACATGGATACATTTAATACATAGATAATCTATCAATTCATAGGGTTTCAAAGCAAAGCAAAATGGAGGAATAGTGGGCTACAAAAACGTTTAAAAACATGAGGATAATACCTGTGCATCCACAATACTTAAATATATTCAGGGCAGTTTCAGTCATGCAAGTCAGCCATCATAGCTCACTATTCCTGTTCTCATTCCTCGCTCAAAGTTGTTCCTTGATGGTGAGATGCTCTTGGTCCAAGAAACTCGATTTATTTTCTCTCTGGGTCGAACTTGACTGCCTCCCATTCAGTTCCCAGCTAGTTCAAAACCTTGGAGATGAACACTTCTCTAGGCTGAGGAACTGACCATCTCAAGGATGATGGACTGATTACATCTTTACCTTGTCACCACTACTACTGCTGCCTACAATACACTCTCCTCCGAATTTGACTGATGAAGCCTACCGTGTAGGCGAAACGTTTCAACAGTCAAGATACACAGCTGCTGTACTTGTGTCTTTCTCATCAACTTGTCAGCTTTTATACAATTTTCAGCATATACTGTCATTTACTAGATCCAATCTGTTTGCCTCTGGTCATCCCGACGCTATACGACCCCGACGTGTATCCTTGACTAGTAGTGAACAGCTTTAACTCTTTGTGCAGTAGATAGGCTACTGATCTAATACACCATTCTTCTTATATACAAGCAAGAAGGTGTTTGTTTAAAATTTTCTTTGGCATTTATTATGTTTTCCTCTATTTTTAATATAAGACGGTATATATATGTACCTTTTAATAAAAAATAAGTGAATATATATATATATATATAAAATATATATATATATATATATATATATATATATATTATATATATATATAATATATTATATATATATATATTATGTGTACATATATATATATATATATTATTATATATATATGTATGTATTATTTTATATATTATATAAATAAAATATATATATATATATTTTATATGTATATACTTTATATATATATATATATATATATATATATATATATATATTAAATATATTATATATAAATAAAATATATATATTAAAATATATTTGTGTATTTGCGGCGAAGTGCAAGCAGACCAATAGGGTCTACATGGCCCTTAACTGTTCCAAAACCAAGGGCTGGCATGCAAGACACAATCAGGTCAACGCGTCATTAAGAGAACCCTTGCTACAGCTGGATGCCCTGCCGAGAGGGAGCCACGATCACTTGCAGCAAACAATACCCACAAAACCAGCAAACCGCCCCGACGGGATCACCATTTCTTTGGAAGAATGGCAAGCTCTTAGCATGGGACTATACCTGTGGTCCACACTGGCTGACACCTATATCCATCACAGTGTGGGGCGACAGGGAGGAGCTGCTGACCACAAGGAGGAGTACAAGATCAGCAAGTACGGGACATTAGCCAACAGTATCAATTTGTCCCAGTGGGATCAGAGACCTTGGGATCATGGGGAAAAAATCCCACACGTTTCCTTAAAGAATTGGGTTCCAGACTCATCGACCCCACCAGGGACCCAAGGGCAGCCACTTTCATGTTCCAGCGCCTCAGCGTCGCCATCCAGGGGGGAAATGCTTGCTGCATACTTGGCTCACGCCCAGCCTCGGAGGAGCTGGGAAATTCATCATCTTTGATTGCATTGTGCCATTGTATTCATGTTTATGTTTTTTTCTGTAAATGTATTTTGTTTTTAAAAATATTTATAATATAATATATAATAAAATATATTTTAATATATATATATATATTATATTATATATAATATATATATATTTTATATATATATAATATATATAAATATATAGGAAGTACCACCTCTAGAACTTTACTGGGGACCCTCATCCTCAAAGAAGACAATAAACGTACCTCAGGGAAAACTCAAGGTTCTCCCCGGAGCTGTTGGAATATTTTCTTCTCCTACCACCCCCTATATTGTATATTCTATGGGAAAATTTATTAATAGACAGAATACATTTACAGAAAACACAAACATGAATACAGTGGTACAATATATCAAAGATTATGAATCTCCTCCGAAACCGGACGCGAGCCAAGTATGCAGCAAGCATTTCCCCACTGGATGGCCACGTTGAGGCGCTGGAACGTGAAAGTGGCTGCCCTTGGGTCTCTGGTGGTATCGATGAGTCTGGAACCTAATTCTTTAAGGAAACGTGTGGTATTTTTTTCCCATGATCCCAAGGTCTCTGATCCCACTGGGACAAATTGATACTGTTGGCTTATGTCCCTGATCTTGTACTCCTCCCTGTGATCAGCAGCTCCTCCCTGTCGCCCGACACTGTGTTGGATGTAGGCGTCAGCCAGAGTCGACACACATGTATAATCCCATGCTAAGAGCTTGCCATTCTGCCAAGGATAGATGGTGATCCCATCGGGGCAGTTTGCTGGGTTGTGGGTATTGTTGACTGCTAGTGCTCAGGGCTCTCTATCGGCTGGACATCCAGTTGTAGCAAGGGTTCTCTTTATGATGTCGTTGACCTCACTGTGTCTTGCATGCCAGCCCTTTGTTTTGGAACAGTTAAGACAATGTAGACCATATTGGTTGGCTTTTGCATCGCCGCAAATACACGTGTATTTAGTGTGAATTGGGGCAGCAACGCGCAGAGCCACTGCAATACGGAGGGTCTTAGGGTCGAGGCGCGTTCCCATTGCCGAAATGGGAACTGTTTGGAGGAAGACCCCAGAGCGATGTGCATGTTAGTAAGCACTTTTTCAGCGATGGGGCCATCCCAACTTGACTGTTTGTAAGCCAGTGCTGCACTAGGTTTTGGTGTCAGAGCAGCAAGAGTCCCATTCAGTGATGGCACTGGCATAGCTAGGGTCCTGTATTCCTGCTGAGTCATTGAGATTGTCTCGAAGAATTTGTTTTATTAACTTATTTGATGTTATGGAAGAGGATAGGAAAACTGGTAGGGTAATTTGGGAGGATTTGCGTACTCCCAGTCCCCAAAGCCTGACTGGGAGAGAGGCTTGCAACCACTGTCCATCTTCGAGGGAAACATTCAATACATTCTCTAGCATGATCTTAAGAAGAGGGTCATATTCCTTGAATTTCGGACTGCTGAAAGTTGAGAAGCATCTCAGGAAGTAGGTAAGTTTTGGGATTGAAAGGCACCTGATGAGAAGATACAAGGCATCATGTGTGTATCGATGTCTTTCATCCTGCCTTCCATCGTTCTGAGGTCTGAGACTTTTTTTTCTAGGATAAGATCGATGGCACTGGACCCAAGAGGTACATAAGTACACATATATACCGTCTTATATTAAAAATAGAGGAAAAAATAATAAATGCCAAAGAAAACTTTAAACACCTTCTTGCTTGTATATAAGAAGAATGGTGTATTAGATCAGTAGCCTATCTACTGCACAAAGGGTTAAAGCTGAATGTAACCTGTACACTACTAGTCAAGGATACACGTAGGGGTCGTATAGCGTCGGGATGATATATATATTTATATTTGTGTGTGTGTTTGTGTGTGTCGAATACGCAAATTTTCACTTGCCCTATTCGGCAAGAAGTGCGTTGCTATTTAAACCAAAATCGCAAGTTTTACCTATTCAGCACCACACACACACACACACACACACACACCGAGCGCGCGAGTCACGCCTTCCATGCTCCGCGAATATAAGTGTTTTTGAGGGCTACACAAGTGTTCTGCAGGGCTTGCAAAGTGTGTTAGGGTAGTGAACAATCCTAGAAGCGATTTACAATCTGCCTGAGCCACATAAGTATTGGGAGAGCCACAATTTTGTAAGTGATCAAGAAAGTAAACCATGGTGGCGCAGTCAGAGCGGGCAGCTAGTGTGGGTGGGAAAAGGTGACGTCATGTGTCACCCAAGAAAGTGATAAAGTGAAACAATCGTGTGTCCCGTGAGAGAAATACAGTGAATAGGGTGCATTATTAACGAGAAGAAATTGAGGTGGATCTACGCCAGGACGTCACATCGAGCTGGACAATCACAGGCTGCTACAGCTGCATTGCAAGTACTGTATCCACCTATGAGTGGTTGTGTGGGTGTTCCAGGGTTCCAATTTAAACGCCAAGTTGATTGTGAATGGTCTCTCATAGCACGATAAAGAATAGGCACTCAAGTATTCAATAAGGAATAGGAATTGGTAATTCAATAACAAGGCAAGTAACTTACTATAAGCTAAGGTGCAGGACAAGCTTTTAAGGCAACATTGTAAGTAGGTGGGGTCAAGTCCCAGGAGGGTGGAGGTCAGGTCACAAGAAGTTTTTGGTCAGTCAAGGACCACTGAGATCCCATTGCACTGCACAAGTCACCTACCTCACACACACACACCACATGCACTCACACACACACACACACACACACACACACACACACACACACACACACACACACCACACACACACACACACGCACACACACAAACACACACACACACACACACACATGCATGCACACACACTCACACACACTTCACAACACACACACACACACACACACACACACACAACACCCACACACACACACACAAAACACACACACACACACACCACACAGAATACAAAGGCAGAACTACAAAGGGATCTGGACAGGCTGCAGACCTGGTCCAGCAATTGGCTCCTGGAGTTCAATCCCAAAAAGTGCAAAGTCATGAAGATTGGGGAAGGGCAAGAAGGCCGCAGATGGAGTTACAGTCAGGGGGTCAGAGACTACAAACCTCACTCAAGGAAAAAGATCTTGGGGTGAGTATAACACCAGGCACATCTCCTGAAGAGCACATCAACCAAATAACTGCTGCAGCATATGGGCGCCTAGCAAACCTCAGAACAGCATTCCGACATCTTAATAAGGAATCATTCAGGACCTGTACACCGTGTACGTTAGGCCATATTGGAGATGCGGCACCAGTTTGGAACCCCACCTAGCAAGCACGTGAAGAAACTACTAGAGAAAGTGCAAAG